GGGAGGGGAGGCAGAGACCTGGGAAGACCAGAAACAAGGAGGTGGGAGTGCATGCCACGAAGGCGTGGCAGGGAGGGGTGACCAAGTCGGTGGTGCCACAGGAGGGTCTGGTGCGACAGGAGGCGACACAAGCAGGGGGCTGCTACCGGACCTGACGCGGACACCTGAGTAGACGCAGCTACCTGAGGAGGCTCGGTAGTCTGTGTACAGACTCGACCCAGGCCGACGGGTGAACGTGGCCAGGTGATGGCCCGTCCGTGTACACGTGCATATCAACACACGCTAACCCCCAGGAGTGGTGGTAGTGACCATCGCATCCTGGAAGGCAGCGGTACTCACCAAGCTCATAGAGAACGAGGGGAGGTGAAGACCTGACAGTGAGCCAGACGGAACCGCCGGACACGGGAGAACAGTGGAGGAACGGGCAAGAACTGGGCCCCTTGAGGGGTCAGCCAGTCAGCAGGAACAGGTGCAGGGAGTGGAGTGAGGGTGCTACTGTCGCGAATGAAACAGCAGGAAGCACCTGAGTCAAGCGTAAAGGTGTGCAGTACCAGGGAGAGCAGACTCACTAGCACATAGAGCAGCAGCCTCTATACGTGGGTCGGGCGGCATACACAGGTAACAGTCACCCTCGGCACTAACAGAAAAGGCATACATGGCAGCAAGGATAGCATCATAGTCAAGAGCAAAGATATCAACTCCAGACCTAAGCAGCTCTGCCCAGGGGGGGCACTCACCCTCGTCACCAAACTCTGCGCGCCAAGCGTCGTCTAGGCGGGAAAAGCAGCGGTGCTGAGAGTGAGGCTTCCAGCATGTCGGACCAGCACGGTCACCCGTGCGAATGACATACGGGCAGCGAACACTACCCCAGACGCCCCACGTTGAGCAAACCACTCACGAAGCTACTGGGGAGAAGGGGTCTCGCTCCGACGCTGCTGCTGTTGCTGCCTCTGCCCACCACCAGAACCTCCCCTCTGACCAGCTCCAGCCCGACTGCCACCACTCCCACTGCCGCCACTACCGCCACCCCCACCGCTGCCACCACCGCCGCCACCAAAGCCCCCATTCCCGCCACCACTCCCACCACTGCCACCACCTCCGCTACCTCCACCACCTCCACTGCCAGCCCCACCACCACCCCTGCTGCCACCGCCACCACTCCCGCCACCCTTGCCCTTGCTGCTGCGGCGCTTCCCACTAAGAGCAGAAGCAACCCCGACATCCGCAGCACCAAGGATGTCAACAGCAGCAGCACAAGCGTAGGAGGGGGCAAGGGGGGAGGGGGGACACCCCTCAAAGAAGGGTGTGCGAGGAGTGCCACGAGCGGCACCTACAGCGACTACGCTAGTCTCAACTGCAAGGAGGTGCCGCTCGAGCAGGTCGACAGTGAGGTCTGTGGGGTCAAGTGCGAGAAAGTGGTCCCTGGCAGCGCGAAGAGAGTCAGGGAGGCGGGTGACTATGAAGTAGAAAGTGATGTACATCGGGGGCAGGTTCCTGTCAAGGAACTCTGCTGGGAGGGCAGCGTGGTAGCGAACGTTGCTAGTGCGGAGGTGGGTAACGAGGTCCTTGACTCTGGCAAAGGCGGACAGCTCAGGAAACAGGTAGGGCAATATAAGGCGGCCTAGAGCAGCAGTGGCAGGGGAAGATTAACGAGCAACTACAGCGTCGTATAGTGCTTTAGCAGTCTTGTGCTGGCCAAAGTGAGCGCGTTCGGCTAACGGCAGATGGTTGCGAACGGCTAAGCGAGCAGCAGCGTCACGGGTAAGCCACTGTGAGTGAGTCGCACTGTGAGCTGTGTCGGGAGGGGCGAGAGAGGCTCCAGATGTGTGGTCAAACAACGAAACGATGTCTCTAGAATCGCTCAGTAGGTACAACTGTAAATCGTCGAGCCACGTATCGAACTGGATCGGACGGCCCTCATGATCGAATTTTGAGACGCCTCAAAAATTTCGAGGCGCCTAAAAAAAGGCGAGTACACTGAGAGAAGCCATAGCGGGCAGAGCAGGGTGGCGTGCTACCAGCAGAGTAGCACGCAGGCAGGGCGGCGCGCAAGCACTAGGGAAGCCCACAGGGCAGGGCAGGGCGGCACACGGTAGGGCGGGCAGCAGGGCGGCGCACATTAGGGCGGGCAGTAGCCGGACGAGCTGTAGGCGGGTGGTGCAAGCAGCTGCAAGGGGGCGGCACGAGGGCTGCAAAGGGGCGGCGAGTGGGCTGCCAGAGGGCGGCTCGCGGGCTGCAAAGGGGCAGCAAGCGGGCTGCCAGTGGGCGGCGCGCGGGCTGCAAGGGGCGGCGAGCGGGCCGCAAGGGGCGGCGAGCGGGCTGCAAAGGGGCGGCGCGCCAGCTGCAAGGGGCGGCAAGCGGGCTGCAAGGGGCGGCGAACAGGCTGCCAGAGGGCGGCTCGCGGGCTGCAAGGGGCGGCGAGCGGGCCGCAAGTGGGCGGCGAGCGGGCCGCAAGGGCGGCGAGCGGGCCGCAAGCGGGCGACGAGCGGGCTGCAGAGGCGGCGAGCGGGCCGCAGGCGAGCGGCGAGCTGGCTGCAGGGGCGGCGAGCGGGCCGCAAGCGGGCGGCGAGCGGGCTGCAGAGGCGGCAAGCGGGCCGCAAGTGGGCGGCGAGCGGGCTGCAGAGGCGGCGAGCGAGCCGCAGGCGAGCGGCGAGCTGGCTGCAGGGGCGGCGAGCAGGCCGCAAGCGGGCGACGAGCGGGCTGCAAGGGCGGCGAGCGGGCTGCAAGCGGGCGTCGAGCGGGCCGCAAGGGCGGTGAGCGGGCCGCAAGGGCGGTGAGCGGGCCGCAAGCTGTCGGCGAGCAGGCTGCAGGGGCGGCGAGCGGGCCACAAGCGAGCGGCGAGCGGGCTGCAGGGGCAGCGAGCGGGCCGCAAGCGGGCGGCGCGCTGGCTGCATTAGCGGCTCGCGGGCTGCTAAGGGCGGCGCGACGGGCTGCAAAGGGCGGCGCGCCGTTAGGGCAGGTCGGTAGGGCAGCTAGTGGGGCAGCTCTGTGGTGGGCCCTAAAAAAAAAAATCGGTCCTAGGGAAGGACCTTCTATGAAACCATGTTAGAATCTAGAACGAGAATGGAATGCTTTGAACATAAGTTGGGTACAAGTACTAACCCTAGTTGGGTTGTACCCCTTATGAGCCACCCCACTATAACCTACACAAAGTAATTACTATAACAGTTTTGACAGGATATACACGTGCTTTCGTAAGGAGGGCCTCCTTAGGGGGGGGGGTGGGGTAGTGTAAGGAAAATTCATTTTCCTTACTTCGCATCCCTGCTTAGCGCGTGCACCTCTGTTCCCGCCAACAACTCTCAACAGTACACCATTACCACTCGCGACACTCGCCTCGACCACTGTTCCCGCCACTGTTCACGACGCGACCCAACCTCACGGTTCGGCTGGTAACCCGCGCTCCGGACCTCCGCCTCGACAATTCCCAGCCTCGGCGCTAAGCCCGTAGCGCAACCCATTTTGACACATTACCGTTACAACTTGGGCTTCGCTATATATTCTTCGCTCATTCCTTCGCTCGATGTACTGTTTTGCTTCGATAGTGCAATTCACGCTCGCTCACTGAATTGCACTCGTAACAAGGGGAGATAGTAATACCGTACCGTGCGTTTGAAAGATTACTAGTTGTGAGACACATGGTAACACCACACCACCATATCGTGCTTATGGTAGCATCAACGTATATCAGCAAAAACCGTACCGTATGTCCATGAAAAGCATCTGGTGGAATTCTATAATCACCCTCAATCTAAGAATGATTTTGACAACAATATTGTAAAGCATATTCTATTGTTCCTTGTTTAATCTTATGTAGCTCCGTACAGTTATCACAGAAATGATAAGTTGCTTGATGGCAGTGAAGAATACTAAGTTACCATTGTCCACTCTGGATCTGGAACACGTAAATAAACCGCCGAAGTGTTGACCAGGCCTGGCGAAGTACTGAAAAGCCTAAACTCCACAACTTCTTGGTTTTCGCGAACACTCAACTCGTCGGCGAATTCAGTCTCGCCAGTCAAACAGCTGGCTTTGTTGCTTGCATTATTCCTCTCGCCGCGTCGTGCGTGCTCTGATTGGTGTTCGAGCCTTGCATCATTGGAATGGGAGTGGGGTTGGCGGATTCCCCTAATAAATTTGCATTATTGCGCCTCCCTGATTCAGTGCGATTCGCCGCGATGGCTTATGGGTATGCGTGAGGTGAAGTGAAGGTGGATGCACATCAGCTCTCAACCGCACGACTTCATTCCTGGTAGGACCTGGGCTGTCACATAAAATGAGCCTTTCCGCAGTTCCTCTTCAGCAGTAACTCTAGAACCACACAGTGCCCTAATCGCCATTGTATATTACTCGAGCAGCTGAAATCAGCCCCGATCCAAAAGCGTTCGTCAGTATGCTGCTCGGATTTCTCCTCGTGTTGATTTTGTCTTGCGAACCGCGGGACAGCGAAGGAGCAGCAAGTCGAGGGCGACTTCTAACCGATCATGACGACCACGATCGACGTAAGAAACGTTTGTTTCATGCCACCAGTGTGTGATTTGGTGAAGTTGGGGGAAAATGGGGAGGGGAAACCGAAACGCGCTCGGCAAAATCCAAGTGTTTTCATTTGTGCCGCATGAGCCCGGTACTGACCATCATCACGTAGCAACTAATCTGGTCGCTTTCCCTTGACTCAAGACCTCGTGGGTCAGACGCACGACGCTCACCTGCCCCGGGGCCTCCGATATCTGATTCTTGTCTCGATTTTCTCCAAAAATTCTCCCCAATCCCCTCGAACAACCGGATACGTTCACCAATTTTCGCCAGGCCATTCCCAAATTCCCATCATGCTCGTCGGAGATGCTCCAGTGCCGCGCAAACTGCAGCAGCAGCCCGAGGGGCAGCAGATTCAGACGCTGAGCCAGATCAGCAGACAGATGCTGACGACCCTGAAGCAGCAGCAACAGCGGAAGAAGAAGCAGGGGCAGAAGAAGAAGAAGAAGAAGCACTCTAGCCCTGTCATGCCCCCTCCTGAGAAGACACAGCCTGACCCTGTCATGCCCCCTCCTGAGAAGACACAGCCTGACCCTGTCATGCCCCCTCCTGAGAAGACACAGCCTGACCCTGTCATGCCCCCTCCTGAGAAGACACAGCCTGACCCTGTCATGCCCCCTCCTGAGAAGACACAGCCTGACCCTGTCATGCCCCCTCCTGAGAAGACACAGCCTGACCCTGTCATGCCCCCTCCTGAGAAGACACAGCCTGACCCTGTCATGCCCCCTCCTGAGAAGACACAGCCTGACCCAGTCATGCCCCCTGAAGAGATCGAGCAGCCTTCTACAAGGTGTGCTCTCTCTCTCTCTCTCTCTCTCTCTCTCTCTCTCTCTCTCTCTCTCTCTCTCTCTCTCTCTCTCTCTCTCTCTCTCTCTCTCTCTCTCTCTCTCTCTCTCTCTCTCTCTGCCTTTGTTTTTCTCTCCATGCATGACAGTCTGTAAATCGCCGCTTTCTCCTTATTTTCTTGCCGCTTGTTCAATCCCTTGCTTCGCAGCAAATTTTCCTGGCCCGAGGTGGTGGGGTTGACGGGAGAGGAGGCACTCAAGAAGATCCAGGCCGAAGTGCCGCCTTCGTGGGGTGTTTGGATCATAGCGCCTGGGGATATGATTATTGCGGATCATCGGAAAAATCGCGTTATGATTTTTGTGGATGAAGCTGGGATTGTTCGGGACACTCCCAGTGTTGGGTAGAAGCAGCCGTACCAGGCGAGTGCGTAGCAGGAAATTATTGACCTGCAGCGAATCCAGGCAAGGATTGACCGGGAAATGTGGAAGCGGTAGACGCGGGAGCAGCAAAGCTCAGAAAAGAATCTGGGGTATAGGGGAGCAGGAGATTCTGGATCAAGAAGATGAGTTTTTGTTCGGGTTAGATCGTTTGTAATATGCTGTGTATTTGTTTCTCGAATGCTGCTTGTGTGCTTGTAAGATGTTGGGTTTCTTTTTGTATGATGCTGGGTTTCTTTTTGCTTGTAAAATCTTGCATTTTGCTTCTACATGCTTGCACAGATGCTGGGTACGGTACTTGCTACTATGCGACTAAACGATGCTGAGATGCTGGGAAATATTATCCATGATGCTGAATGTGTGCTTGTAAGATGCTGGGTACCGTATTTGTCTGTATGATGCTGAATGTGAGCTTGTAAGATGTTGATTTTTTTTTATTTTTTTTTCTATGGTGCTGGATGTGTGCTAGTAAGGTGATGGGAGATTGAGAGAGGGGCTGCTGGGAGCGGCAGGTAGAAGCAGCAGAATCTGTAGAAGCATCAATTACAGCAGGAGCAATTTTGACAGCAGGAGCAGAAGTTTAAAACCCGGGTCTCATATTTCCTAGTGTATTACACTTGGTTGGGCTAAAGCGCCTGTGATTGGGTTACGATAGGCGAGATTTGTGACGAGCAGTATAGAAAACACAGACGAAACCTCAGTTCGTCCACGCAAAAGCCAACCGAGCCCCTCAGGCATGGAAAGCTACCACACCTAGAAAACAGCTCCGGCAGAGTCGCAATTCCATGCGACCAACTGAAAGCGCAAAACAATTCGCCCACCTTGTATCGAAAAGGCAGAGCAAAACTCTCAGCCTTGATTCTTAGTACCTCCGCTAGTATGGTTCCTCCGCATGTACCTCCGCGAGCAAGATGCTGACCCGAGCACAATGTCCTCTAATATAGTAGCCAATTATATCGCATTTCGGACCTCGTAACAGGTGACTTGCGAACAATTTTATAAGCGGATAACGCAACGCGATCGCATGTTACGAGGTAGCCAGTTCGTAGCTTCCCGAAATGTGTTCTTACTTTCCTGTGGTCAGCTGCGGAGCCCGGACACGTGATGGCGCGAATCAGAATGCGCACGGACCCGTATCAAGTGCGAGCGGCATGTGTGTGGGGTGATTGTGTGTGTGCGTGGGTGTGTGTGCGCGCGCGCGGAAGTGCGCGTGCGTGCGTGCGTGCGTGCGTGCGTGCGTGCGTGCGCGCGCGTGTGCAGCGGTATGTATTCATGTGCGTGAGTGCATGTGCATAGAAATGCGCTACCCTCATTATGCCAGACGTCCCTCAGCCTTCACATCGCGGTGCTCTCACCTCCCTTTCCACCCACCTGCCATCTGTGCCTCCAGACACGACACACATCCCCCCCTTCGCTCTCGACGCACCGCTTCCTTCTCTCCCCTTCCCCCTCTCCCCTTCCCTCTCCCCCCTCCCTCTCTCCCCTTCCCTCTCTCCCTCCCCCCTCCCTCTCTCCCCTTCCCTCTCTCCTCCTCCCGCCCGCAGCTGTTCTCAGGTCAGCCCATCCACGCCATGAGCAGCTCGCTCCTCTCCCACCCCTCTACCCACCCATTCCCCTCCCCAGCTGCCGCACACGCTGACGTCAACTCGGGTGCTCGTACTCCTCCCACTTCTCCCACACCTCCTCTCCTCGGACTCCCACCCACCAGCTCTCCCACCCTCCAGCACCCGCCACCCCTCGTTCGCCCCCTTCTTATTCCGTCTGGAAACATTCCAGTAACCTTTTCCATGTTCCTTGTGCTGTGATTGCTGCCCCCTCCCACCCCCCTCCCCCACCAACATTCCTCATGTCCGCAGCAAGCCTTGCTTGCCAGCAAGCCCTCACCTGCTAGCTTTCCTGCACGAAGCTGAGGTGTATGTAAGTAGGGGAAGGTGAGGAGGGTGTGGGTGTGGGCTATGGTGAGAGAGGGGAGGGGGAGTGGGAGGGGGAGGTGGGGAGGTTGAGTGCTGTGGTGGCGGCCATGAGTGTGGAGAGCCCTTTCCTTCTCCATCTGCCTTTTCCTTCTCGCCCTTCTTCTTTCCCATCTCCCCTCCCTTCCCGTCCATCACCCCTCCCCTCACCGAGGCGCATCTCTCGATTAGGCCATACGCCTGCCCTCTCATCCCACCTCCCCATCTCCTCATCCCACCTCCCCATCTCCTCATCCCACCTCCCCATCTCCTCATCCCCTCTTCCCTTCTCGAGGTCCCGGGTTCCCATGACAGCTGCCTCCCTCCTCATCTCGCCCACCTCATTTCCTCTCTTCCTTGGTGTGCATCATCATTATCGGTCAAACCTCCTCATCTAATCTCCCCTTCATGCCCGGCACCACCTTTCCCTGCCATCCCATCCCTCCTTCATGCCTCCCATCACCTTTCTCTGCCATCCCAATTCCCCTTCATGCCTCCAATCACCTTTCCACCCATCCGTCCCCTTTTGACCTCTTCTCCCCTCGTTTCCACCCCCATCCGTCCCCTCCATACCTAGTCTCCCCTCGTTTCCACCCCCATCCGTCCCCTCCATACCTAGTCTCCCCTCGTTTCCACCTCCTCATCTCATCTCCCCTTCATGCCTCCCACCACCTCTCCCTGCCTTCCCATCCCCCCCTTTTGCATCCTTTCAAGAACCTTCCCCCCTTTCCTTCCTTCCCTGCCCATCCTTCCCTCCCCTTACTCCCCTCCCCTTCCTCCCCATCCCTGCCCTTCCCTCCATGCCCTTCCCTTCTCTTCCGGTTTTGCATACAAGTCAGCACGTGTGCCAATTCCCTCTGCTCCAGCTACAAACAGGACAAAGCATGGCCCAAGCCTAAGTGACGAAATACGCTTTTGCCTTTGAAGCGTATAGCGTTTATCCGCTTGCGTATACACGCAAAACGCTATACGCTAGCAAATACGCTATACGCTCGGGAGTTTTTTTCTGGGCAGCCCAAGGTGAAAATTTTCGGGAATATATAGAAATCTGCCGTTTTTCACGGCGATCATTTCACGGTGGTCAAAATGCTCATCGGAGATCTGCGGGAATGTCACTTCGATGTTTGGATTCAGGTTGGAGTTGCAATTTCGAATTTCAGGGTTCCACCTCTTTGAACCGAACCCAATCTACGAACTCCAACCTTTCCAGTACGTCCCCTCCAACACATCGTTTCTCGTCAGATCTACTTCACGTTCCCTCCCCCATCCGTCCATTCCACCTAGTCGCTCACTCCTCCTAGTATCCTACGCGATAATTTATACTGCAGTTCCTAACCCGCCATCTGATCTCACACAGGATAACAATAGGCCACGTCCTCTTCGTGAGATTAGGGAGTACCTTCCCGATGTTGAGCACGAAGTCTTTAAGCATTTCGCGTCATAGGGGAAAAAATGAACCTGAGACACAACCTCCGTGAATCCCCCCTGTGAAATATATCTAGGGTGTTTTTTTCACCCTGCCCGGCTTTTTTTTACCCTGCCCGAAAAAGCGTATTCCTGGATTCGGGACCTTAGCGTATAGCGTATAAACGCATGCGTATATACGACACGCGTGTATACACTATACGCGTATTTCGCCACTTAGGCCCAAGCTAACTTGGCACTCCGCAACCCCATCGCCCGCACTCCCCTTCTCCTGCTCTCCTCTCCTCTCCTGTCACTCCTGTGCTTCTGTCTTACTCCCCTCCCTCCCATCAGGACATCCCGGCGTGCCCGTTCCCCTTTCATCGCAAGCACTCCTTCCCCCACACTATCTCTCCCATTCACGCTCGCGTAACAGGCATGAATGCTTTGCTTTGTGTCCCTCCTATCCTCTACATCTCATCTTCCTGTCTCACCTCTCACTCACCTCTCACCCTTTCCTCACTCTCCCCCTTCCTCCCCCCCTAGTCCCCTCTCCTCTGTGTGTTTGCCTTCGTTTCCGCACCTTTTCCCTCTTGTTAGTGAGTCACACCGTTCGCTCTCCTTACATGCCTTGCCCCAAAATCATTTTCAATATTTCTTGCCATTCATCTCCCTTCCCTGCCATTCATCTCCCTTCCCTGCCATTCATTTCCCTTCCCTGCCATTCATCTCCCTTCCCTGCCATTCATCTCCCTTCCCTGCCATTCATCTCCCTACCCTGCCATTCATCTCCCTTCCCTGCCATTCATCTCCCTTCCCTGCCATTCATCTCCCTTCCCTGCCATTCATCTCCCTTCCCTGCCATTCATCTCCCTTCCCTGCCATTCATCTCCCTTCCCTGCCATTCATCTCCCTTCCCTGCCATTCATCTCCCTTCCCTGCCATTCATCTCCCTTCCCTGCCATTCATCTCCCTTCCCTGCCATTCATCTCCCTTCCCTGCCATTCATCTCCCTTCCCTCCCATTCATCTCCCTTCCCTCCCATTCATCTCCCTTCCCTGCCATTCATCTCCCTTCCCTGCCATTCATCTCCCTACCCTGCCATTCATCTCCCTTCCCTGCCATTCATCTCCCTTCCCTGCCATTCATCTCCCTTCCCTGCCATTCATCTCCCTTCCCTCCCATTCAGGAGTTAGGGTTCATCTCCCTGCCCCCACATCTCTCTTCCTTCCCGGCAGTGTTGAAGCAGAGGGGCAACGTTTGCAAGCAGAAACGCAGCCAGTGGATGTTTTATACCACCTTATGTTTCAAGTGTGTTGTATAATATGAAAGCATATGATTGGATTATTGTCAGAGACATGCAGCCTCATGTGTAAGTGTACTGCACTATTTGCAAGACCATGCCACTTAGCATAGTATAGAAGCTCTCACTCTTGCCCTGCTGAAAATGTAGACAACCACATTGTCACTCGATGGTTGAGTCATGCCCTGATGGAATGAGGCGAGTTGAATCATGAAAACTCCACATACACTTGGGTGCCTGAAATAGTCAGGGAAAGCGGGAGAATGCGAGAGCCGGTGGAGGTGGAAAAATAGAAAGGCGATGATGCTAGCATGGGCAGTAATGGCACAACATGATGGAGTTGATAGGAAAAAAGGGGAGAGGGAAAGGAAAAGGGGGAAGAGAAAGAAAGGAGGAGAAAGGAAGTGGGGGTGGAGGGAAAGGAGGAGATAGTAAGAGGGTGGACATGGACGACGGGAGAGGGGAAACAGGGAAGAGAGGAAACATGGACAACGGGAAGGAAGGGAGGTGATACCGTCATACCCCGGATATAAGCGCCACCCTCGGATAAGCGCCTGGCGCTTTTAATTGGCGCATGGCGCTTATATCCGCTGCTCGATTATAAGCGCACCCCCTGAAAAAAACTTGTTTTATTATAAGCGCTCGTAAACTTTAAATTTTGAAATGTGTTCAAAATGCTGTAACGAGTTTTACTTTAGCAGGCGGATGTGTTGCAGATTCGGTTCCCTTCACATTCGGACCCTGCACTGGATGCGGGTCCAGTCAGCAGGAGCTGTCAGGAGCTGTCAGGAGCTGGATGTGAGTCAGATTGGGTGTATCTCCCAGCGCGCGCGAGAATTTCGCAGACGACCCCATGTAACTTCGACTCGATTGGAAAGGCAAGCACGAGATCTACAGTTTGGTGTTAAAAAATAGAAAAATATATATGTCATTTTATAAACGCCGGCGCTTATAATTTTACTCGATTATAAGCCCACCCCCCTGAAAAAACCTGTTTTATTATTGCCCCCCATGGGGGTATATCTGGGGTATGACGGTATAATGAGGGGAGAGAGGGAATAGGGTTTCAGGGAAGTGAGGAAACTGGGAGCACGGAAAAGAGGGACTTAAGGTGCTAGGATGACCACTGTGGGGGAATAGGAAGACACGGAAGAGAGGGAACGGGGACCACGGGAAAAAGTGAAGTGACGTGCCAGGGTTTATGGGAGAGAAAAAAATGGAGGTGATAGGATGCGGGTGTCGGAATCCCAACCACTAGACTATTGGGATAAAATGGCTTGTTTGTGTAGCGGGTTTGTGCGCTCATAACCCCCTAGGCGAACGCACGTGTAACCCCCTTAGGATCAATCGGGCATCCACAGTGCAGATCTACTGACACCCCCCCACACTGGGAGGCCCAGGACTGAGCACAGCGGCAACGGTCTACATGTGCATACACCGGGTTTCGAGCCAGAGACCGCTCTGATACTATGTCAGAATCCCAACCACTAGACCATTGGGATAAAAGGGCTTGTTTGTGTAGCGGGTTTGTGCGCCCATAACCCCCCAGGCGAACGCTCCTGTAACCCCCCTAGGATCAACCGGGCATCCACAGTGCAGATCTACTGACAGCGGGGAGCGAGGGGCAGCGATGATAGCTGTTGGGCTGAGAAAAGCCCTTAGGATCGTTTTCAAGGCTCAAGTCTCAGAGTAGTGATGTATTAGCGGAAGCGTAAAAGTGAACTAATTGAACCACCTTGCACTGGTATGTGAGAACAAGATAAGTTAATAATAGCAAAGAGATACAAAACTTTATATGATTACAAAAGAATGTGAAAGATTTCACTAACTGTAACTGCTGTTGGGATACGGCTCCTTTGAGGGTGGACACGGCTGCATCTAGGGACAACCGCCAACTGCTAGCCTGTTTCCTTGGGAGGGTTGATCCATGAATTTCTGTGGTCGGCCTTTGAAAGGGAAGGGACGTAAAAAGGACAAAGGGTGTTCAACAATTTATTATGGAACGATGAGCTGTTATATAGGCATGTCATATCCCACTCACCGAAACCCTTTCACTCGCCCACTCACCAGCCCCCCACTCACCCGCCCACTCACCACAAGCCCACGCACCAGCCCACGCACCAGCCTACGCACCAGCCCACTGACCAGCCCACTCAAATGTGAGAATAGTAGGCGAGAATGGTAGACTAGGAAAAGGGAAGGGGTACAAGTAGAATGTCGAGAGAAATTTGTACCGCCTAAGGCTAAACCCACTATAGCCTAGACAACTATAAACACATAATATAAGCCTAGATATAACTAAGCATATATGTTTGACACACCCCCATTGGCGAAGTGGGGGATAGCCAGAACAAGCAATGGTCACAAGACCAGTCAAGAGAAGAAGCAAAGCAAAGCAAGCTCAGGGTGGATCACAAAGTCACCACACAGTCCGAGCACAAGCAAAGGGCCACAAGGCCAGTTCACATGCAGAGTTATATAAAGAGTTTAACAATACAGTGATCATACCCTAACAAGTGCAAGCATGCAGGTATATAGATAGATCACAGTACAGGCAGAGTCAGGCAGTAAGTAAGTGAGGCAACGTAGGCACAAGGCCTAACACAGTAACAAAGCGCTGATGGTCACCAGGCGGAAGTGCCTTGGTGAAGACATCAGCAGTGTTGGCCCGAGTGGCCACGTACGCTAGACGAAGCTGACCACGCTGCTGCAACTCTCGAGCAAGGAAGTATCGCAGAGCGATGTGCTTCGTTCTGTGCTCCAGTCTGTGCTCCTGACACAAGGCTATCATGGCCTTGTTGTCTACGTACAGGACTGGAGGCGAACGAGGCTACACTCCCAAGTCGGTCAGCAAGTAGGTGAGCCAGCGTAGCTCCTGAGCAGCCATGGCTCCGGCGTAGATCTCAGCCTCACAGCTGGAGCTGAGAACTGAAGACGAGCGGGTAGACCGCCAAGAAACCGAGCCGGACCCAAGGCTGAAGGTGTAACCCTGCGACGACCGCTGCGTAGCTGAGTCGTCAACCCAGGAGGCGTCTGCGTGACCAGTGAGGACAACAGGACCCCGTCCTCCAAGCACAAGCCCCATGCCCGACGTACTGCACAAGTAACGCAGTACCCTCTTCGCAGCATCCCAGTGCACCTTTCGGTGCCTACCGGGAGCCACGTAGCGAGCCAGAAGGCTGAGAGGGTACGCGAGGTCAGGTCGAGTGCAAGTCATCAGGTACATGAGGCAACCCACAAGCTCTGGGTACGGACCACTCGGCTCTACGGACTCGTCCGAAGGTGGAGCTGAGAGCGAGTGGCTGGTAGACAGAGGAGTGAGCTGTGGCGAGGAGTACTGGAAGCCGAAGCGCTGAAGGACCAGGTGCACCATGTGTGACTGAGTCAGTGTGATGGTGCGCCGTGCTCTGTCCCGGGTGATCTGCAGGCCAAGGTAGCTGCGCAGTTCACCCAGGTCAGTGCAGGTATGTCTCTTCTGCAGCTCGGACTTCACTAGGGTCAGTGCCTCAGTGTCAGCCGTGGCAAAGACGAGGTCGTCGACGTACACTAGGACGTAGAAGGGCGGCAGCGAGGTGTCGGTGCGTAGAAACAGCGACGGGTCTGCTGTAGAAGGAACAAACCCAAGAGCCGCAAGTGTAGTCCTGAGTGTGTCGTGCCACTCGCGAGGCGCCTGGCGGAGACCATAGACTGGCCGGCAGAGGCTCCACTGGGTACCTCTAGGAAACGACCCAGTGAAACCAGGTGGTCGGCGCAGCCAGATCTCCTCGTGCAGGCTGCCCTGCAGGAAAGCAGTACTGAAGTCCAGGGAGTGTAACTCGTAGTCACGCTGAGCAGCTACGTGCAGCAACACCCGAAGAGTAGTCATCTTCGGGGTGGGGGAGAAGGTCTGGAAGTAGTCAACTCCCTGTCGCTGACTGAAACCTCGAGCAACGTAGCGCGCCTTGAAGGCAGGCGGAGAACCCGGCGGCCGCTTCACCCTGAAGATCCACATGCCATCGACTATGTTCACCCCAAGTGGGGGAACCTCGTCGACGTAAGTGCCTGTGGACTTCCAGGATGCCATCTCGGCATCCATTGCTGCCTGCCACTGAGAGGAGTAAGGACCCGTAATCACCTCTGCGCAAGAGCGCGGGGTCGGGATGTCAGGAGCATCCGGGTCTCCCTCAGGGGCAAGCAGCAAGGAGGCGAAACGAGGTACAGCAGCTGCAAGACACTCAAAGTCCTCTTGCCTGTCCTCAAGGACGTCCGTGCCAAGAGCACACTCACCCCCGACGGACGGAGGACTGGCAGGCACAGACTCAGCAACTAGAGCAGAGGCGTAGTCGAGACGGCAGGCAGCAGCAAAGTCAAGTAGCTCAGCAACGAGAGCAGAAGCAGCAGCAGACTCAAAGGACGGGTCAGTGACAGCAGTGGCAAGGAGACGAGCGACTGTGGGACTGGCAGCACGCGCTCGGTCAGACTCAGGGTCAGGGACCACAGGAAGAGAGGACTCAGGAGGAGCAGGCAGAGGAACACGCAGTGGAACAGAGGAAGGACGGAGTGCCATGGTGTGTGTGCCTGGGACAGGAGGAGAACGCGAACGAGGAGCACGATGAGCAGTGCGAACAGGCGAGACAGGACGAGACGCAGGCTCACGACGCTCTGTAAGACCTCCGGACTGCTCAGTGTAAGGAGAGGGAACAGGCAGTGGGGAGGCTGGCTGTAACGGCGGCTGCGACTGATCAGGCGGTGGACACAAGAAGGGAGGAGGAAGACCAGTAGAAGACGGGACACCAAGAACCTGCTGAAGCAGGGGAACGCAGTACGGGCGCGGCCGCACAGTGCCTCCAGCACCTCCAGCTCCAGGGTCAACAGCTCCAGCTCCTGCACCTCCAGCGCCGCCTGCGCGAGGGCCTCCAACTCCAGCTACTCCATCTCCAGCGCCTCCAGCGCCAGCTGCTCCAGGCTCCGTAGGGTCTCCAACTCCAGTAGTAACAGCAGCACCTCCAGCTCCAGCGCCTCCAGGCTCGCCAGCTCCGGGAGCCCCACTCCGACGGTGTGCGCACTGAGCAAGCCACTCACGCAGCTGCTGCGAGGACAGTCGCGGTGAAGCACCAGCAGGACCTCCAGACGAAGCAGTACCCCGGGGCTCAGCACCCCCAGACTCCGCACCCTCCGACTCAGCACCCTCAGGCTCCGCACCCTCCGACTCAGCACCCCCATGCTCAACACCCTCAGGCTCAGCACCCCCAGACCCAGCACCCTCAGACCCCGCACCCCCCGGCTCCGCACCCCCAGACACAGCACCCCCAGATGCAGCACCTGGAGCAGCACATGAGACGACAGCTACCTGAACAGGCGCAGTACCAGGGAGAGGGTCTACCCGAGACACTCCCGAGGGAGCAGGACCCTGGGGCGGGAGGGGGTCTACCGGAGGCGGACCGGGAGCAAGGAAGAGCGGCGGGGGCGGGGAAGGGGCAGAGCGGTAGGGGAAGAGGCGGTAGAAGGGAACCGACTCGTCGAACGTGACGTCCTGAGAAGGGAGGACACGGCACGAGGTGGGGTGGTAAAACTGCCAGCCAGGCACATCAGGGACAAAGCCAAGGAAGACGCAGGGAATAGCGCGAGCGGAGAGCTTGTCCGCGGACGTATCGCGAACAAAGGCACGAGAACCCCAGACCCGGAACACCGACGCATCGCCAACCTTCCCCGTCCAATGCAGTGTGGGCGAGGTCTCCGGCAAGGAGACACGGGGCCAAAGGTTGAGCTGATGCGCAGCGTACCGGACCGCAAACGGCCACAGAAAATGGGGAGCTGCCGCATGAATCATGGAGGTACGAGCGACCTCCATGACTAAGCCAATGCGGCGCTCAGCAATCACATTTTGCTGAGGGGAGTCCGGAAGCGTGAACGACTGGGTGATGCCCTCCCCACGACAAAAGTCCCGCAAGAGGTCGGATGAGAACTCACCACCTCTGTCAGAGTGCAGACGCAGGACAGGAAGGTCCTGGCCGAAACGCTCACGCAGCTGGAGACGGACTGTGCGGATCCAAGGGATCAAGACAGCAGAGACTTCACCCTTGCTGCGCAAGGGGAAGACTGTGGTGTATCGCGTGTAGTCGTCAACTACCAGCAGAAAGTAGCGCTCGCGGCCCTGTCCACTGACGCGGGCTGGGCCCCACACGTCCATGTGGAGGGTCTGCAGGGGAGCAGTCGTCGGGGGAAACGAGGAGGAGTGAGGAGCGGCGCGCTGCCGTCCCTCGACGCAAGGAAGACAGGGCGGGGCAGGCGAGGGCGGCAGGGGAGGCAGAGACCTGGGGAGACCAGAGACAAGGAGACGGGAGTGCATGCCACAAAGGCGTGGCAGGGAGGGGTGACCGAGGCGGTGGTGCCAAAGAAGAGTCTGGTGCGACAGGAGGCGACACGAGCAAGAGGCGGCTACCTGACCTGACGCGGACACCTGAGCAGACGCAGCGACCTGAGGAGGCTCGGTAGCCAGTGTGTACAGACTCGACCCTGGCCGACGAGTGAACGTAGCCAGGTGACGCCCCATCCGCGTGCACGTGCAGATCGACACACGGGCAGGTGGTTGCGAATGGCCAAGCGGGCAGTAGCGTCACGAGACAGCCACTGGGAACGAGTCGAAACGTCAGCTGTGGCGGGAGGGGCTGGAGCGGCACCGAACACGTGGTCAAACAGTGAGACACTGTCCCGACTGTCGCTCAGTAGGTACAGTTGCAGATCGTCGTGCCACGTGTCAAATGCTACAGGTCTACCTTCCGGGTCGAACGGGAGAACTCGAAGCGACGCCATAGGGGCCGAGGAGCCTGGGGGCCGCGGGGCCAAACAAGAGGCCGGGGGTCTAGGGGAGCCGAGAGGCCTAGGGGGGGGCCGAGGGGCCAAACAAGAGGCCAGGGGGCCGGGCGCCGGGCTCGGAGGTGGAGCCGAGGGGCCTAGGGGCCGCGGGGCCAAACAAGGGGCCAGGGGGCCTAGGGGGGCCGAGGGGCCTAGGGGGCCGAGGGGCCAAACAAGGGGCCGGGGGGCCAGGCGCCGGTCTCTGAGGTGGGGCCGAGTGGCCTAGAGGCCGCGGGGCCAAACAAGGGGCCGGGGGGGCCTAGGGGGGCCGAGGGGCCTAGGGGGCCGAGGGGCCAAACAAGGGGCCGGGGGGTCGGGCACCGGTCTCTGCGGTGGGGCCGAGGGGCCTAGGGGCCGCGGGGCCAAACAAGGGGCCGGGGGGGGGCTAGGGGGGGCCGAGGGGCCTAGGGGGCCGAGGGGCCAAACAAGGGGCCGGGGGGCCGGGCGCCAGTCTCTGAGGTGGGGCCGAGGGGCCTAGGGGCCGCGGGGCCAAACAAGGGGCCTAGGGGGGCCGAGGGGCCTAGGGGGGGGGGCGAGGGGCCAAAGCAGGTACAAGGCCGGGCGCTGGGCAGGGACGGGGCCGGGCGCTGGGCAGGAACGGGGCCGGGCACCGGTCTCTGAGGTGGAGCCGAGGGGCCTAGGGGGCCGAGGGGCCAAACAAGGGGCCGGGGGGCCGGGCACCGGTCTCTGAGGTGGGGCCGAGTGGCCTAGGGGCCGCGGGGCCAAACAAGGGGGGGGGGGGGGGCGGGGGGGCCGGGCGCCAGTCTCTGAGGTGGAGCCGAGGGGCCTAGGGGCCGCGGGGCCAAACAAGGGGCCGAGGGGCCTAGGGGGGGCCGAGGGGCCTAGGGGGCCGAGGGGCCAAACAAGGGGCCGGGGGGCCGGGCGCCAGTCTCTGAGGTGGGGCCGAGGGGTCTAGGGGCCGCGGGGCCAAACAAGGGGCCGAGGGGCCTAGGGGGGGGGTGAGGGGCCAAACAAGGGGCCGAGGGGCCTAGGGGGCCGAGGGGCCAAACAAGGGGCCGGGGGGCCGGGCGCCAGTCTCTGAGATGGGGCCGAGGGGCCGCGGGGCCGCGGGGCCAAACAAGGGGCCGAGGGGCCTAGGGGGGGCTGAGGGGCCAAACAAGGGGCCGAGGGGCCTAGGGGGCCGAGGGGCCAAACAGGTACAGGGCCGGGCGCTGGGTAGGTACAGGGCCTGGCGCTGGGCAGGTACGGGGCCGGGCGCTGGGCAGGTACGGGGCCGGGCGCTGGGCAAGTACGGGGCCGGGCGCTGGGCTAGGTACGGGGCCGGGCGCAGGCAAGAGACGAGGCCGGGCGCTGGGCGAAGGACGGGGCCAGGCGCGGGCTAGGTACGGGCCGGGCGACGGGCTAGGTACGGGCCGGGCGCGGGCGACGAAGTCGACGGGGCCAGCGGGGCCGAGGCGACGGGCTAGGTACGGGCCGGGCGACGGGCTAGGTACGGGCCGGGCACAGGCAGGAGACGGGGCCGGGCGCGGGCTAGGTACGGGCCGGGCGACGGGCTAGGTACGGGCCGGGCGACGGGCTAGGTACGGGCCGGGCGCGGGCGAGAAGTCGACGGGGCCAGCGGGGCCGAGGCGACGGGGCCACGGGGCCGAGCCTAGGGGCTAGGGGCGACGCCAAGGGGCGACGGGCCGGGGCATAGGCGAGCAGGGCAGTAGGTGGTGGGCCCATTAACATTAGGTCCTAGGACTAATTGCTCTTAATACCATGTGAGAATAGTAGGCGAGAATGGTAGACTAGGAAAAGGGAAGGGGTACAAGTAGAATGTCGAGAGAAATTTGTACCCCCTAAGGCTAAACCCACTATAGCCTAGACAACTATAAACACATAAACTAAGCCTAGATATAACTAAGCATATATGTTTGACATCAAACTCACACTCACCAGCCCCCCACTCAACCGCCCACTCATCAGCCCAAATCACCCACCCACACACCAGCCCAATCACCCGCCCACTCACCAGCCCCCCACTCACCCGCCCACTCACCACAAGCCCACTCACCCGCCCACTCCACATCGCTATCTTCCGCCCACTCACCCGCCCGCCCACCAGCCCAATCACCCACCCACTCACCAGCCCCCCACTCTCCCGCCCACTCACTCGCCCACTCACCAGCCCACTCCCCCGCCCACTCACCCGCACACTCACCAGCCCACTCACCGGATAACTCATCGCCCCCCCACTCACCCGCCCACTCACCACCCGCCCACGTACCAGCCAACTCACCAGCCCACTCACCAGCCCACTCACCCGCCCACTCACCCGCCCACTCACCAGCTTAGTTGGTAATTTATGTTTACGTTTACGTACGTACGTGTACGGGTACGTACGTTTACGCGGCTGTTGGGTTGGAGGCCTAATGTACGGGCAGGTGAAAAAAATTCTGGGCTGCCGAATATGTATATTTTTTCTACAGTCCTCCCTCGTAATCATGATTTCCATCATATAGTGTAAACATTCCATTACAACCTCGTAATTTCCCAAATAACAAAAATACCATTATGCGAATTGGTTTGACTCGAATTTGGGATTCCCCGAAACCAGTGAAGGTCGGCGGTGACGAAACTGCCGAGCGGGTGACATTCGCTTACCTTGCAAGCGAAGCAATCGTGATATGAGTCAAATTGTTCGCAATGTTCTATCGCGAACAGTTTGTACACATTCAGATCTACTCCCACCACAATTTCCTCCCTCCCTCTCTCGACAGACTTAGCTATCGTAGTTCTACCGCCTTAGTCGACATAGTACGTAGGGTAGACGCCACACCATAGCAACCCTAGCTAGCAACCTTCCTATTTCTTACATTACTACTTTGAAAAACGTCGCGCCGTACTAACACTCTAACAGAGCACAGGTCGTCGAAAGTTTTTTTCCTTTTTAGTTTTTTGGAAACCGTTTTCAAACAATTTTCAAGGGAATTTTTTTTTTACCTGCCCGGCGTACGTACACGTAAACGTACATGTACGCGTACGTTACGTGCACGTGGGCTGAAATGGCGTAATTGACCAACTTAGCTCACCAGCCCACTCACCATATCACTCGCCATCCCACTCAACCGCCCACTCACCAGCCCACACACAACCAGCCCACATACAACCAGCCCACACACAACCAGCCCACACACAACCAGCCCACTCACTGCCTGGATGCGCAGAGAAGTATATGCTATCACACCTACGTACCCGTCAAGCGGGGCTTGGACGGTAGCAGGCGGCACAGATGCAGTTGTTCGGCCACGCTCACTAGTTCCCCCGTCCGATCTGCCCTCCCCTCCATTGCCCCCGTTTAGTTCCACAATCAATGGGCTACCCTCCTGCGCTGTTTCCTGGACATGTCCCGGGTCTGGGTCACCTCCTTGACGCACCCTAACACCCTCATCGGGTCGATCTTTATCTCTCACTACAGCCCCACTCCCCCCTCCCTCCGGGCCCGTAAAGGCATGAGTCCATAGATGCGCACCTGCTTCCTGCACGGCCCGATATGCGGGCCCATGGCGGTCCCCACCATGGCCATGCCTCTTATCCGGAACCATAGTACCATCCGCGTTGCGATGCCATGTCTGGAACTGGTACTTGTAGCCATTTGAAAAAATAGGCGTCCGTTCGAGCAAGTGCGCCACCGCTGCCATCTTCTCCTCTTGGCTCAATAGGAAACATGTCCGTTGAGCATCCATGTGCAATTTGATTTGGTCGTTCACCGTCGTCTCATTCCCACCTACCATACAAAACCAAAATAACATCGTTAAATGGGTACGAGATGCTTGAGTAAAGCGGGAACATCATATTTTGGTCAAGGACTGATTGAAGGGCAACCTCTGAACAATAAAAAGGAGTGGGTGTATGCTGGACGATAGAACGCTGTCAATAATTGTAACCAGGTCACAAAGTCCGCTCTGAAACGCGTTTGGAGCAACAAGGTTTGTGAAATGAAACCAGTGTCCCTCTCGCGAACAATACGTTGGCGAACTCTGCACCCCGACTTCCATAATTTATTCTGCCACGTAGCAGGTGCTGGATTCGTGCCCCAATAGTGCATTATTGGAATTGGAAGGAAAATGGCTGATAGTTCTATTTTTTTAAATTATTTTCCTCTGTCAATTTTTGCTATCGAAACGCCCGCGGCTGCATTTTACATACGCAACTACTGTACAAAATACAGAAGTATGATCCTTAGTTGTTTTTTAATGTCGGTCTGCTAGTTCTCGTGACAATTTTGCGACCAAAAAGAAATGTGGAAACGTGAAATGTCAAAGAATGAAATACTACTATCAGAAGACTGTTGTAAATATGCGGCGTACGGTAAGTATTTTCTGCGACTTACGTGGGGGCAAAGAAAAATCGCAAATGATAGATTATTTTGGAGCACCTAGCAAAGCGAGATGACTCTACACGGTTCCGAGCCAGAAAATTCCTAGACTTTTTGTTTGGTTACAAATCACGTTGCAGAACCAGCGGAGTGTGGTGGCAACAAGGTGTTGTCAAAGAGCGAGCCGTATGACACTTTGAAATATCTAGACGTTTAGGGTTTGTTGCACATAGCACTACGGAAAACTGTTGTGAGTTTGCCTCGATATCAGATGAAGAGGACATATGCTTGACTCTCTGGCGAAAGATAGCATAGTGGTCGAAGACAAAATGACTCTGGATTACATAGTTTAGGCATTTCAACCGTAGAATCGAATTATTGGAGCTCCGAATAATTCACGAAGCGCGACTAGATTTGGGCTGAAAGAAAGTTGAGAGCGCTTCCGCTTCCATTGCCGAAACTCTCAAGTCTTCAGCATAGATTTCCAGCCCTGACTGAGCTTCCATCAGTTAGCAAACTCCCCTTTCCACACTTGAAAAGCTGCATTACTGACACCAAGCTAGTGAAGTTTGTCAGTATGTTGCTGGGATTCCTCCTCGTGCTGGTCTTCTCTTGCGGGCCGCTGGGCAGCCAAGGAGCACTGCCGAGGGCAATGCTGATGCAGTCGTACGTGGAGACGCCGCAGCAGGAATTGGATCAGGCGTACGAGGAGTTGACGCGGCAAGAGATGATGCACCCGGTGGCGAAGCCGGAGTACGAGGTGCCTCCGTACGAGGTGCAGACGCATCCGTACGTGGCGACGAAGCAGCCGGACGTGGCGACGAAGCAGCCGGACGTGGCGACGAAGCAGCCGGACGTGCCGACGAAGCAGCCGGACGTGGCGACGAAGCAGCCGGACGTGACGAAGGCGCAGGAGGAGCTGAAGCGGGTTCAAGCGGAGGTGTCAAACAAGATCAAGCTTGCATACCAGGAGAAACAGCGGCAGGAAGAGCTGCAGAAGCAGGAGAATCTGAAGCAGCAGAATCAGCAAGAACAGGAACGGCTGAAGAAGCTGCAGCAAGAATTCCAGGAGCAGCTGAAGAAGCTTCAGCAGCAGCGGCAGTGACAGCGGGGACGGAGCATGATGCGCTGCGTCCGGCAGGGAAAAGATTGCACCCCGGGCATGTGTAAGGATGGGGATTTGCCTGGCGGACCGCTCTAAATCTGCAGACTAAGAAACCCAGGAAGAAGCTGGATAAGATCAGTAGTTTGATCCCTGAACAGGGGTCTTTGTCTCTGGAAGAAGAGGAGGAGGAGAGCGATGTGGGAAAGAGGAACAATGGGAAGGGTAAATGGCAATCAAGCCCATAAGGACGCTTGCAGGAAGTGTGAAAATGATTGTGTAGCAATAGGGAAAGGGGGAAATGGGGGGAAAGGGGGTTAGGTTAGGTGTAAGATATATTCTGAAGTTTGCTGACAAACGATTTGTGTTGTATCGCTTTGTATGAATATCTTTCGTCATTTGTAAATGTAACGAGGATCCTTTGCGTCCGCTCAAGTCGAACTTCACATTTTAGTTCGCCCGCGAAAGTTGCTCCAGCAGCACTAGCATTCACGAACAGAAACTTTCTAACCGAATACAAAGTTACAGAAACTGGAGAAGTGCTAGCCAAGACACATCACTAACAAAACATGCCTGAAACTCCATGAAGGCGCGATTTTTGCCTCCTCGCTCCATGAGGGAATGACGTGAGAAAAGTAGAACGAGAATGAATGAACTATGAATGAAGTGAGTACATATGGGAAACCCTAATTGGGTTGTACCCCCTATGGGATACCCCACTATAGCCTACACAACAGCATAAGCTATATATATGTTCTGACACACCCCCATAGGCAAAGTGGGGGAGAACAAGGGGTCACAAGACCAGTCAAGCAAAGCAGAGCAAGCTCAGGGTGGATCACAAAGTCACCACACAGTCCGAGCACAACGACAGGGCAACAGGGCCAGTTCACATGCAGGAGTACACATATATATATAGAGCTAGACAAGCAAGAGCAGGAATATATATGTGACAGTACAAGCAAGGTCAAGAAGAGAGCAAGTGAGGCAAGACAGGTACAAGACCCAGCTGGGTGCAGAAGCGCTGATGGTCACAAGGCGCAAGTGCCTTGGTGAACACATCAGCAGTGTTGGCCTCAGAGGCCACGTACGCAAGTCGCAACTGACCACGCTGCTGCAGCTCACGAGCAAGAAAGTAACGGAGAGCAATGTGCTTCGTTCTGTGCTCCAAGCGCTGCTCTCGACACAAGGCCAGCATGGCCTTGTTGTCTACGTACAACACTGGAGGAGAACGAGGCGGCTCTCCAAGGTCAGTCAGCAGGTAGGTGAGCCAACGAAGCTCCTGTGCAGCCATGGCCCCGGCGTAGATCTCAGCCTCACAACTGGAGCTGAGAACAGAGGACGAGCGAGTAGCCCGCCACGAGACAGAGCCGGAACCAAGACTGAAGGTGTAACCCTGCGACGACCGCTGTGTAGCCTGGTCGTCTGCCCAAGAAGCGTCCGCGTGCCCAGTGAGGACCACTGGACTCCGCCCTCCAAGCACTAGTCCCATGCCCGACGTACTGCACAAGTAGCGCAACACCCTCTTCGCTGCAGCCATGTGCTCTGGTCGGTGTCTCCCAGGAGCAACATAGCGTGAAAGAATGCTAAGAGGGTATGCAAGGTCAGGTCGTGTGCAGGTCATCAGGTACATGAGGCAGCCAACAAGCTCTGGGTACGGGCCACTCGACTCTACGGACTCATCCGAAGGCAGAGCTGAGAGCGAGTGGCGAGTAGACAGAGGAGTGGCCTGAGGCGAGGAGTACGTGAAGCCGAAGCGTTGAAGGACCTGCTGCACCATGTGTGACTGAGTCAAGGTAATGGTGCGGCGTGCTCTGTCCCGAGTGATCTGCAAGCCAAGGTAGCTGCGCAGTTCACCGAGGTCTGTGCACGTGTGTCTCTTCTGCAGCTCGGACTTCACGTAGGCTAGTCCAGCAGTGTCAGCTGTGGCAAAGACCAAGTCGTCGACGTACACGAGGACGTAGAACGGCGGCAAAGAAGTGTCGGTGCGCAGAAACAACGACGGGTCAGCAGTAGAGGGAGCAAACCCAAGAGCCGCAAGCGTAGTCCTCAGTGTGTCGTGCCACTCACGCGGTGCCTGGCGGAGACCGTAGACTGGCCGTCGGAGGCTCCACTGGGTGCCAGGAGGAAAAGTCCCAGTGAAGCCAGGTGGACGGCGCAGCCAGATCTCCTCGTGCAGGCTACCCTGCAAGAAAGCAGTACTGAAGTCAAGAGAGTGGAGCTCGTAGTCGCGCTGAGCGGCTATGTGCAGCAGCACCCGAAGAGTGGTCATCTTCGGGGTGGGAGAGAAGGTCTGAAAGTAGTCAACTCCCTGCCGCTGACTGAAGCCACGAGCGACGTACCGCGCCTTGAAGACAGGTGGAGAGCCCGGCGGCCGCTTCACCCTGAAGATCCACATGCCACTGACGATGTTCGCCCCAGGAGGGGGAACCGCGTCAACGTAGGTGCCTGTGGACTTCCAGGACGCCATCTCTGCATCCATAGCTGCCTGCCACTGAGAGGAGTAGGGACCCTCTACGGCCTCCGCGTAAGAGCGCGGAGTCGGGATGTCTAGTGCATCCGGGTCTCCCTCAGGGGCAAGTAGTACGGACGCGAGATGAGGTGAAGCAGCAGCCAGACACCTGAACTCCTCCTGCCTGTCCTCAAGGACGTCCGTGCCAAGAGCACACTCACCCCCGACGGACGGAGGACAGACAGACGCAGACTCAGCAACAAGACCGGCAGCGTAGTCTAGACGACAGCGAGCAGCAAAGTCGACGAGCTCAGCAACAAGCGCAGACGCAGCAGTGGACTCAAAAGAGGGGTCAGTGACGACAGTAGCAAGGAGACGTGTGACAGCAGGACTGGCAGCACGAAGAGAGTCCGACTCCGGGTCAGGAAGAGCAGGAAGAGAGGACTCAGGAGGAGAAGGCAAAGGGGCACGCAGAGGAGCAGTGGACGGACGCAGAGACATCCGGTGCGTGCCAGGGACAGGAGGAGGACGCTGACGCGAACCACGACCACTAGTGCGAGCAGCACGGACAGGCGACGCAGGGCGAGACGCAGGCTCACGACGCTCAGCAAGACCTCCAGTAGGACCAGTGTAGGGAGAAGGAGCGGGCAGTGGGGAGGCCGGCTGTAACTGTAACTGTGACAGAACAGGCTGTGGACACTCTAAGGGAGGAGGAGGACCAGTAGAAGGCGGGAGACCAAGAACCTGCTGAAGGAGCGGAACGAAGTACGGTCTAGGCCGCGCGACGACTCCAGACACAGCAGGGACAGCACCAGTACCCCCAGCGGCAGCACCAGCGCCAGTAGCACCTCCAGCTCCAGGACCTCCAGCAGCACCAGTAGCACCCCCAGCAGGACCGCCTCCAGGACCGACAGCAGTAGCCTCAGCACCAACGCCCTCAGCAGCTCCAGCTCCAGCACCTCCGGGACCCGCGGCACCAGCACCCTCAGTAGCCGAAGAACCTCCAGCTCCTGCAGCACGCCTCCAGCGCCGGGCAAACCACTCGCGCAGCTCCTGTGGAGAGAGGGGCTCCCGCCGAGGCGAAGCACCCGGAGAACCGCCAGGTCCCGCACCGCCAGACGCCACAAGGGGAGGTCCAGTGGCCGCAGGCTCCGCAGCTCCAGGCTCAGCACCTCCAGACGCAGCACCCCCTGGCTCAGCACCCCCAGTAGCAGCACCCCACGGCTCAGCACCCCCAGACTCCGCACCCCCAGGCTCAGCACCCCCAGTCGCAGCACCCCCAGGCTCAGCACTCCCAGACTCCGCACCCCCAGGCTCAGCACCCCCAGTCGCAGTACCCCCAGGCTCAGCACCCCCAGACTCAGCACCCCCAGGCTCAGCACCCGCAGCAGGACCAGAGTCACCAGCAACCTCGACCGGCTCGACTGCGTCTACCTGGGACACACCTGAAGGGGCAGGACCCTGAGGGGGAAGGGGGTCTACCGGGGGGGGACCTGGCACAAGGAAGTGCGGTGGCGGGGGGAGGGAAGGAGTGCGGTAGGGGAAGAGGCGGTAGAAGGGGACTGACTCGTCGAACGTGACGTCCTGGGAGGACAGAACACGACGAGAGGAGGGGTGGTAGAACTGCCACCCTGGAGCGTCAGGGGGGAAGCCGAGGAAGACACAGGGAGCAGCACGAGGGGACAGCTTGTCCGCAGACAAGTCGCGGACAAACGCCCGAGATCCCCAGACACGGAACGCAGACGCATCGCCGACCTTCCCCGTCCACAGCAGAGCTGGGGAGGTCTCCGGCCGGGAGACCCTGGGGTGAAGGTTGATCTGATGCGCCGCGTACCGAACCGCAAACGGCCACAGAAAATGGGGGGCAGCCGCATGCATCATGGACGTACGAGCGACGTCCATGACCATGCCAATGCGGCGCTCAGCAATCCCATTTTGCTGTGGAGAGTCCGGAAGCGTAAAGGTCTGGCGGATGCCTCGTGCACGACAGTAGGCTCGCAGAAGGCCAGAGGAGAACTCTCCACCTCGGTCAGAGTGCAGACGCAGAACAGGAAAGTCCGAGCCGAAGCTCCCCCTGAGCTGGAGACGAGCTGCGCGGATCCAGTCGATCAACACCGCAGTGACATCACCCTTGCTGCGCAAGGGGAAGACTGTGGTGTAACGCGAGTAATCGTCAACCACCAGCAGGAAGTAGCGCTCGTGACCCTGCCCACGGACGCGGGCGGGGCCCCACACGTCCATGTGAAGCGTCTGCAGAGGAGCCTCTGTCGGGGGAAACTGAGAGGAGTGAGGGGCAGCCCGAAGCCGCCCCTCGACACAGGGGACACAAGAAGGTCCGGGTCCCGAAGGGAGGGGAGGGAGAGACCGGGGAAGACCAGAGACAAGGACACGGGAAGCCATGCCCCGAAGACGAAGCAAGGAGGGGTGGCCAAGGCGGTGGTGCCACAGGAGAGTCTCGTGAGACAGGCGGCGACACGAGCAGGGGGCAGACTCAGGACCAGACCTGGACGCAGCAGCAAACACCTGACCCGACGCAGCTACCTGGCCAGACGCAGGGACAGGAGGAGACGCAGTGGTCAGTGTGTAGAGACTCGACCCTGGCCGACGCGAGAACGTGGCCAGGTGTCGGCCTGTGCGGGCATCCGAGCAGTGGGTCACCCGCTGACTCGCAGGAGTAAACTGGTGAACCCCCGCATCCTGCAAGTCAGCACCACTCACCAAGTTCGTCGAGAACGAGGGGAGGTACAGACCAGACAAGGTGCCCGAGGGGGCAGCCGGACACGGGAGGACAGTGGAGAAGTGAGAGAGGACAGGACCCCCAGAGGGGTCAGCCAGGGAGACTGCAACCGGCCGGCCAAGCGGCGTGAGTGTGGTGCGGTCTCGAAAGAAGGAGCGAGAAGCCCCTGAGTCAAGTGTGAAGGTGAGGGAGGCCGAAGCCGACGCAGTACCTGAGAGCGCAGCCTCACCAGTACCTGAGAGTGCAGACGCACTGGCACCTAGAGCAGCAGCCGCAGAAGTACCTGGCGCAGCAGTACTAATGCCCGGGTCGGGCGGGAAACACTGGTAACAGTCACCCTCCTCACTAATAGTCACAGCATACATGGCAGCAAGGATAGCATCAAAGTCAAGATCAAAGACAGCTACGCCAGCCCTAGACAGCTCTCCCCAACGGGGAATCTCACTGGCCTCGGGGAACTGCTGACGCCAAGCGTCCGTCAGGCGGGCAAAGCAGCGCTGAGTGGGGTGCGCACCCCCACACTGCTCACCCGCTCGGTCACCGGAACGAAGGACGTAGGTGCATGGACCAAAACCCCCACCCCGCTGACGCTGCGTGTACCACTCACGGAGCTGGTGGGGCGGGGGGATGTCCCGCGAACGCTGCTGCTGCTGCTGCTGCTGCTGACGCTGGCCACCACCAGGGCCGCTACGCTGCGGGGCACCACCCCGACCAGCTCCACCCCCTCCGCCACCGCTGCCTCCACCTCCACCACCACCGCTGCCTCCGCTCCCACCGCTGCCGCCACCGACGCCTCCTCCTCCGCTGCTGCCACCTCCACCACCGCCCCCGCCACCACTCCCACCGCCACCCCCACTCCCTCCTCCGCCTCCACCGCCTCCTCCACCGCCCCCGCCAGCTCCACCCGCGCCCTTGCCCCCCTTGCCCCTGCCAGGGCGGCGTCTCCCGCTAGGGGCAGACGCCGCGCAGACCGACTCAAGACCAAGCAGGTCGGCAGCAGCAGCAGAGGCAACAGAGGGCAGCAGGGGGGAAGGAGAACACCCCTCAAAGATGGGGGTGCGAGGGTCACCACGAGAGGCTCCTACAGCGACGATGCTCTTCTCCGCCGCCAGGAGGGACTTCTCGAGGAGGTCGACAGTGAGAGTGGTGGGACAGACCGAGAGGTAGTGGTCCCTGACTACGCGAAGGGAGTCAGGGAGGCGTGTGACGATGTAATAGAGAGTGATGTACATGGGGGGGGGGTTCTTGGCGCAGAACTCAGCAGGAAGGGCGGCGCGGTAGCGAGTGTCACTAGTGCGGAGGTGCGTAATGAGGTCAGCGACGGTGGGAAAGGCAGCAAGGTCAGGAAAGAGGTACGGTAGCATGAGGCGGCTCAGGGCAGCAGTGGCAGGGGAAGAGTAGCGCGCAACTACAGCGTCGTACAAGGTCTGAGCACTCTTGTACTGACTAAAGTGCGCGCGCTCAGTGGTAGGCAGGTGGCGACGCACAGCAAGACGTGCAGCAGCATCGCGGGTGGCCCACTGAGAGCGAACAGTGGGGTCAGCATCAGTAGCAGGGGCAGGAGAGGCGCCAGAGGTGAGGTCAAAGAGGGAAAGACCGTCCGCCCTATCGCACTGTAAGAACAGCTGCAGGTCGTCGACCCAGACCTCAAAGTCAATGGCTCGACCCTCGGCGTCAAAAGCGAGGACGCTAGGGGTAGCCATGACGACGACAGACGAGCAGTGCAAGCAGTAGGGGAAGGGCACGCAGTGACAGTGGGGCTGTGCTCACCGGACAGGGCAGGTCGGGCGGCCCGGCAGTAGGGCGGCTCGGCTGCTCAGCGGCTCGGCGGCAGTGCAGCTCGGCGCCCGGGCGGCTCGGCGGCAGGGCGGCTCGGCTCCCGGGCGGTTCGGCGGCAGGGCGGCTCGGCTCCCGGGCGAATCGGCGGCAGGGCGGCTCGGCTCCCGGGCGGCTCGGCGGCAGGGCGGCTCGGCTCCCGGCGGTTCTGCTGCTAGGCGGCTCCCGCAGGTAGGGCGGCGGTTGGGCCGCAGGTAGGGCGGCGGTCGGGCCGTAGGTAGGGGGGCGGTAGGGCCGCAAGTGGGGCGGCGGGCAGGCCGCAGTTAGGGCGGCGGGCGAGCCGCAGGTAGGGCGGTGAGTGGGCCGCAGGTAGGGCGGCGTGGGGCCGGGACGGGCGGCGCGCGGGCGTCGAGGGGACGGGACGGGCGGCGCGCGGGCGTCGAGGGGCCGGGACGGGCGGCGCGCGGGCGTCTAGGGGTCGGTCCGGGTGGCGCGCGGGCGTCTAGGGGCCGGGACGGGCGGCGCGTGGGCGTCGAGGGGCCGGGACGGGCGGCGCGCGGGCGTCTAGGGGCCGGGACGGGCGGCGCGCGGGCGTCTAGGGGCCGGGACGGGCGGCTCACGGGCGTCGAGGGGCCGGGACGGGCGGCGCGCGGGCGTCGAGGGGCCGGGACTGGCGGCGCGCGGGCGTCTAGGGGCCGGGACGGGCGGCGCGCGGGCGTCTAGGGGCCGGGACGGGCGGCGCGCGGGCGTCTAGGGGCCGGGCCGGGCGGCGCACTGGCGTCTAGGGGCCGGGACGGGCGGCGCGCGGGCGTCTAAGGGGCCGGGACGGGCGGCGCGCGGGCGGCTAAGGGCCGTGACGGGCGGCTAAAGGGGCCACTAGGGGCCAAGAGAGAGGGGAGCGCGACCCGGGTAGGGGCAGAGTGCGCTCCGGGCAGGAAAAAAAAACGGTGGGCCCTAGGAACAGTTCCCACGAGGGAACCTGCTCGATACCATGAGAAAAGTAGAACGAGAATGAATGAACTATGAATGAAGTGAGTACATATGGGAAACCCTAATTGGGTTGTACCCCCTATGGGATACCCCACTATAGCCTACACAACAGCATAAGCTATATATATGTTCTGACATGACGAAGCGCCGTGCTTTCTCGTCTTCAATTCCAACGGGCAGTGGTTTTTACAGGCCTCCTGCCACGATCGCGCCCGATTCCCGTGGTCAGTTTTCGCCATCAATAGTCATTTTGTAGGTTTTTACGAGTTTTTCGATCACAGACGGTTTCTACCCAAGGCGAGAAATACAACTGACTTCCCTGAATAATAATTACGCCACCCAGGAAACACGTTCAGAACAGTGCGAACAATCATTTCGCGCTGATATTTTCCCTCAACCGCGGAAGTACAGTACTTGTTTGACGAGCGCGCAGATTTCCCGCTACTAACGCTTTCTGTGTGGCCCGTATAACAGCTCGAACGGCTCATATCGCATATTTTTGCGCGCATTCAGTTTTTACAGTTCACGTGCCACCGTAGAGGTCTGACGACCGTCCCGTGAAGCAGTTCAGTAGGACCACATCGCAGCGATTCGATCGCACTGAATTTCCCGCGTTTGAATTCACATTCGCGCGAAAATAACGAGGCCATCATGGTTGTTCAGTCATCTACGGTACTCACGGTTGTGTCCATTTCGTATTCACTGCACTGGCCGATTTGGTGGCCCTTTCTAAGTACCAAGCTCAGCCATAAGGTGCTCCACGCACGTTTTTCTCCTCAATAGCTGCCATGTCGGAACCCAGGGAACGCGCGGAGCGGTTAGCGAATAACATTCTAGAGGCAATGAGAAACGTCCCCCCCGTAGCCCGTGGCCGACCAAAAGCTCCTAAGGATAATGCCCCATTGAGGCAAGGAGGTATCTACTCCTCGAGGGATAAGACCCTCAAGGCTGTGCAGGCCCACGCGTTGCATCATCGTTTTGGATTCGCGACAGTGGAGGTGGCGGACGCGCACGTTATTCTCCAATGCAAAACCGTCATGTATGGACAAAAGCCAATATGCCCCTGGGAGTGTAGTTACAGCAGGATTGTTCATGGCGGCTTCTGGATGGTGACATCCCTCTCCCCTCCTGAATCACACGTCTGCAAGAAGTACAAGCGAGAGCAAGGAGCAAACGCCATCGCCAACAGCGTGAAGGTCATGAAGCGGCTTTGGGGCAACCTTGTTCGTGGCGCACCGTTTATTTCGGCGAAGATTTTGCAGCAGATTCTCACGTCCCACAGCAATTTCCAGACCAGTTACAAGCAGGCATGGCGGCTGCGTGAAGAAATCCAGAAGGAGATGTATGGGGATTGGCAAGAGTCGTTCAGGTTGCTCCCCGCGTTGGCTGATAGGTTCCGGGAGATAGACCCGGATGGAATTTTCTTGATTCAGACGGTCGACGGCTGTTTCAACCGCATGTACATACAGCCGTCCGCTTCTCGCGGTGCGCTTGGTTTTTGCCGCCCCGTTGTTGCATTGGACGGAACGTTCCTCATCAGTGCACAGCGCGCAACCCTTCTAATTGCCGTGGTACTTGACGGCAACCAGAAGATTACAATTCTGGCGTGGGCTTTGGTCGAAGGAGAGAACAAGGACTCGTGGAGTTGGTTCCTGCATAACTTTTTGAAGAGCTTCCCGGAGTGGCCGCACCGTGACGACGCATCCATCATCAGCGACCGCGACAAGGGTTTGCTTCCGGCTGCACGAGATGTTCTCCCGATTGGCATACCCCATTACTTCTGTGCATGGCATCTTCACCCGAATGTTGTCAAGTTTGGAGAAGAAGCTGCTCTGTTCTATTGGCGTCTTGTGAAGTGCAGGCTTGACGACCAATGGGACGCTTTGGTGGCGGCCTGTCGGCGTGACTTTGCACCAATGGCTAATTATCTCATCGGCATTGTGAAGCCGATCTCGGACACCTCACCTGCAGATGCAAGTGAGCAGCAACGTCCACCTCCCACAACAGCAGCTGAGGCACGTCAACAAGCAGCCGAGAATCGTCGCCAGGGTCGTGATGCAGCACGTGCCGCCATGGGTCGCGGCACTACTTCACGTGCGCATGGGCGTTGTGCGGAAGACGCCAGCGCGGCAGGAGCCACACCGACCGAACCAGAGCCACCGACTGAAAGCACTGCTGACCCTATGGCTCAGCCGGCCGAGTCCCCTGCCACAAACTCGCCGCCAGCTCGTCCGTCTGGATCGACGCCTGCATCTGCACAACCTTTCGATTATGCACGCATACTGAGACGTGTAAGGCCAGGTTACATCCCCAGCTCCATCCGTACGGACCTGCCACGTGCAACTGGATCGAACGGAAACTCGGCTGAGGATGCAGAGGAACCCAACGGGGGAAGCATCTGCCAGGCATTGGTCCTGGTCTCTTTGGATCACCCGTGGCCAGATGTCGGCAGTGCCAACCCCGGGGTTAACACAGCGGCCGATGCTGAAGAGGACGATGAGCACGCTGCAGAGGAGGCAGATGCAGAAGATGCGGAAGCACCTGCCACAGCAGAGGGGGTGCAGGCAGAGGCTGGCGTGGACGACTATGACAACACTCCTGACTCCGGTGTCGCGGATGGGGACCACACCACACACGTGCGGACCGGGTTTAGGCAGAACAAGCGTGGTACAAGGAAGAAGTTGGGCATCAACCTTGTCCACTGGACTCGCCTTAAGGCCCCTACTCGACGCTTCGGGATCTTCACCAGCAACGCGGCTGAGCAGGTCAACAGCTCCATCGTGCCCATTCGGCGCTTGCCGGTGACCCCGATGCTAGGGGGTCTCATGGACTGGTATCGCAATAGGTATTGTGAACGTAAGATGGCGGCGCTCGAGCGAACTGATCTCCTGACAGAGGCAGCAGAGGAGCGGATGGTGGAGAAGGAGACACGGGCGGAGGGGTAGGAGCTGTTGGGCGGGGACCATGTAGAAGGAACCATCCAGACCAGGGACACCGATGATCCCAAAGAATGGAGGTCCTTCAACGTCAACTTGGCGGCGAAGACATGCGACTGCACAAACTGGGACCAATACCAGTTTCCGTGCTCCCATGTTGTGACCTTTGCTGTGAAGCGGAAGCTAGACCCCCGCACTCTCGTCTATGATTTCTACACCACAAAGAATTGGGCAGAGACGTACTCTTCAACGGTGCGGGGGTCCTGTGTGGACCGCATCATCCTTGAGAAGAGGCTGGCCCCCCCCACGCGTGTGCGATGCTCCGCCCTTTCGCCGCACCGCTGCCGGCCGCCCGCCGAGCTACGCTCGTGTAGAGAAGGCCGTGCATCCATACAAGTGCAGCGTTTGCAAGATGCACGGTCACAACAAGAACCGTTGCATGGGGAAGTACGGTGGTAGCGCTGTTCCGCTGAAGAGGAGGTACCGTAAGTGCCCAAAGTCACGAAAACCCTATCGGGAGGCTGCACCTGGCGCGGGCGTGATTTGAACATTCCAGGGTTTATATAGCTACAGTAGCGTCTCAATGAGTTAGAGTAGTCTCTGTAGTAGGTGTTCTCAAACCTTTTGGCTAGTCCAGAATATTTATTGTTGGATAACTGATACTGGGTTCATAGGTTTATGTTTGTATTAGCATGATTGATATACACAATAAAATCCAGTAGAGTGCAGGTTGAGGCTGACGAGCACGTCAACCTAGCGTGAAGACCCCGTGACGGGTTTAGGGACCAACACTGGAAGCGCCGTGTGCCGATCGTTAGGAGCAGGGTAAAAATTCTCGTCACCAATTTGTCAATATCCCGTGAACAAACGTTCACGTCAAAGTCCAGGGTCCCGTGAACTCGTTGGGAATGCAACGGTCGAGACCATGCATGATCATTTACCAGGCCCTCGCGAATGGCCCGTGAACACACCGTAACATTTCTAGCGGTTGGATAGCCGGTGGCAAATTACGTCGTCGCATTACATTCGATCGTTGTAGATGGCTTGTGGAAGGCCAGTGGAATGTCCGTGAAGTATAACCGAGTGCTTCGCGACGGTCCGATTTGGCGTGCACAGAACGATCTACTCCGTCACTAACCCGTGAACTCCCAGTCAATGGCACGCCATTGGCTAGAACATGCGCTCGTGTAGAACCAAGGGTTTGGCGCTCATGTAGAACTGTCGAGCGTCAACACCCCGTGAGCGAATAGCTGGTGAATAACCAGGGCCTTGTGGATGGCCCGCGAAGCCAGAGCAAGAATAAACATTCAGAAAGTTATTGTAAACATCACAAATAAACGACCAAGTATTAATGGCAACTATTCCTGTGTCCCGTCGTTGCGCTTTCTAGTCCGTCGACCGTCCGTCCGAGATGAGTCATTCTCTATCACGGCCAGTCTCTTGCAGCCCTGCGCTCCTTCTCTTCCATCTTGATTTCGCACTCATCCCATGCATCCTCCCAGTCCTCCCACCTGTGCCAAAACTTGTGACGAATCATTGCCAAACAAGTGGTCTTTTCACATCCCTTCAATTTCGCCTTGTCTATATTTGTGAGTGGTACGATCTTCCCTCTTGGCCCGGCGTCTGGACCAAATAGCACATGTGCTCCTGCTGCCAGTGATCTCGCCGCGTCTAACTCGGTCCCAAACTGACTGCCGATGACCAGATGCCCGTTTTTCGCTGGAACGCACACAAGTCTTGCAACCCATCGGCCGCTCCACGGCCTCTGTCCGACGCCCACGTAGTCGGACTTAATCTCTTTGCGTACCGCTTTGGTCTTATTCTTGGTGCGGCGAACTATCGTAGTCTCAACAATCGCGTCAGCCGCACAGTTTTCAGAAGGAACCGGCACGTCACGCGAAATCCCCGAACCACCCGCTGACTGTTTCGAGTTGCCAAACATGGCCGTAACCGTTGAGGCCATCCGGTCACATATGTCGTGAGTCCTCCCAAGTACGTGCTTCACATTCGCCATGTCTGATTGAACAGCACCGAGGCGGGCACCGAGGTTCCGCAGTTCTGCGGCCATGTCTGTCACCAACGGTCCTCCGTCCCCAATTGGTTGCACATCAGGGCCGTTTTGCTGGTGTTGTGTTGGCTGCTGCTCGTTGACCATAGAAGCAGTCGCTGCCGCCGCAGCATGACTAGGTTTCGCCGCACTGAGACGACTGCTTTTCCGGGTTCCGTTCTTCGGCATATTGTGGAGTATGCAAGCGCATGAATGTCGCCGGGTGCCTGAATGGCTTCACGGAATTATGCACTGTAGATGTACTGAGCTTTGGGAGCTGGAGGTTGTGATGGACGAGCATAAATGCTAACTCTGACAAGCACGCAACGAGCATCACAGGGACAGTTGGCCAATGACGAGATGTTCACGGGGGGGTTGTGACGGGACATGGAAATCGCTTGAATGGCCTCGAACCATCACTTCTACATCAACGATCCAAGCGTCATGCTCTGATTGGTTCGAGGTCCAGATGCTCAATCGTGACAAATGCGTGAAGAGCTGTCAATTTCTGACATCCAGATCGACGGATTCATGCACACTATGATTTCCCTGTGACATCCGCGACAGTACATGCAACGAGGTGAACACTCCAAATAATGGAATCAAACATTTTAAATCGTGAAACCCTAAATCGCAAACACAAACATATCACATAAACTGAATGGACTAGGGAAGAAAAGGTTCCACGACTCAGGGGATGTGCCCCTATCATTGTGTGCATGAAGAAATAACAACTCTACCAAACCAGTTATGCATAGCAGAATGAACACACAATAAAGTGGATGGGGTACAAATGTGCAATCCACAAGAAATGCAGCAAAGCTCAGTGTGGATGTCACGATCACCAAGTAGTGCGGGCAAAAACATGGGGCCACAGTTGTACATTCTTTTCAATATGGGCGCAGGTACGTACTTCTATTTTTATGTAGACGAAACTTGTTTACACATCCAAAGGCATTCACACAAACAATGCATAAGGTTTATATAAAAAAATAATGTAAATCCCACGTTACACAACATACATGTCATATGCTGCCCAGTGTCCAGCATGCTTCGATTGCTCCCGTCTGGTTTGCACAGTCACAATTCAGCCTTAAATTTACGTAACCTCTTGACGTTATCCTCAACACTCATGAGTACATGGCTATCCTAGGTCGATTCGTTTTCCGTTGTACTCTAATTCATATTTATGTGTTTCCATGTATCTATTTATTTCAATCATTTTACATCCACTCTGAATTGAGACCAAGTCCCAATACTACATACCAACAGTGTGCTGACCTTCCTGTGGTGATCCTAGGGTCGATCAACATCTGATCGCTGCATTGTATTAATGCACACCTTTGTCGCCAAAAGACCATAATTTCCTTTCTAGTCTCTGCCTGTCTATCGTGGCAATTTATGTGGGTGGGGTAGACAGTGTTATACTGGTTTTATTTATACAAGATTCGAAGTTTGTGTTATCATGTGCAACACACTTTTTTATTCACGCTCCCACAAGCCCAAACAAGCATCTGACGAGGCAGCGACGGAGTATTCACGACTGTCTGAGTAGATGTACGAGGACTGCACATTGTTGACTAGCGGGATTATCACGGGGATTAGGTCGTCCTCCATCCCCCATGTGTGTCTTACGTGGAAGCGACGGAATAGTCACGACTGTGTCACGACCTGATCGCGTATTGCTGACTGTTGTCGTGCGGATTTTTGGTTGGTGTTTTGTGAATGTCAAATGACGCCCTCGTTGTTACATATCATTCCCCACGCACTCTTTGCTATGCATTCACTTGATGTTAATTGGCCATTTTGTCGGACAACCAGCGTACATTGAAGCGACGAAATACTCACGGATGTTTCACGAGGTGATCGTGGATTGCCAACTGCACTTGACGTTTACTCAAAGGCAGTGGGATGCACACGACACCTTTACAATACCTTCGCGAGGCATCGACACGCGTCCAACTGAATTGTTACGGGCCATTGACTGGCAAATGCGGTGTTTCTTGATCGTTCATAGACCCTTTCTTAACGAGGCCATAGTATGTCATTTTTTTGGTTCAAAATGGAGTGGATATTATGGTGCAAACGTAAGCACACACTAAGTAAGCACGTAGTCATATCCACACATGATCCACATTGCGCTACCATAGCCCTAAGTAGCATGTTTAGACATCGGCGGTACCTCAAAACTACCACCTAATGCCCATGCCCGCTGGCCTATTCATCCTTAGATCCCACACACTCATCGTTATCTCTTGTCGCCCCTCGTGACAGGCCTTCACCCACCGTTCTGGCCATTTTGTCGGGCCGACCGCCAGGCTGACCCAAGCTCCTATCCAGTGCCGCTCGCTTCATCGCAGCCTTGCGCTCTTTCTCGTCATACTTAGCCTTAGCAGAAGGCCAATACTCCGCCCACTGCTTCCACTTGTGCCAGAACTTCTGACGGACCATCAACTCACACTGCTGAGCCGTACAATCCTGTAACTTTGCCCTGTCGACGTCCGTCAAGGGTATGAGATCGCCTCTCGTGGGATTGTCGACGAACATCACATGCGACGCTGCGGCTATTGACCTAGCCGCGGCGACCTCAGATTGAAAGTGACTGCTGATGACAATCAGAGAATTGGAATTGCGGTCGAGGACAATCCTAGCCACCCACTCGTTCTTACCCTTCTTCTTTGCGACTCCCGTGAACCGCTTGCTGGCGGCCTCCTCCTCCTCACCAATCTGGGTCGATGGCATGAAGGATGAGGAGGCGGCTGGGGAGGGCAGAACCCGTTGCGAGGGCATGTTCAGTAGAGTCCCACGAGGTGCGGAGGAGGTGTGGCCAGGTAGGATGCTGCCAGTGTCGAGCGCCTCAGCAGCAAAGAGGAAAGCAGGTGATTCCTGCACACCGGGGTCGTGCGACGACAAAGGCAGATGCACAGACGCGGTTGGATGTCCTGATCCGTGGAAGAGCAAGTTGGGACGATGCAGAGCATGGCCACTAGGCCCTGCTGGCGCGACAAGTGCAGATGCTCCAGGCTGAACACCACCTGCCTGTGGAGCAAACACCCCCGCTCCTGGTGCACGAAACCCCTGGAGATGCATCCCGGGTGGAAAACTCGAGGGCACAAACAGCTGTTCTCCTGATGTCCATGCCGCTGAACTTGTGTGAAGCACAGCTGTCCTCGAAGCGTCATCCGCTGCTTGCGACCCGGTTGCATCCTGGACCTGCACACATGGCGGAAAATTGGTGAGATCCGACCCCGGTCCCAATATATCCCAGCAGTCGTCTCCTGGCCGTACCACGCCTGCGTTGATAGCAACCCCCGTGGCGGGTCCGTGCTGACCCGCTGCCGCCTTTGGAGCACCCGCGGTAGCACATGGCTCCGCCACTGCTGCTGTTAGTGCAACGCCTGCAGAACCTGGCTGACCCGCTGCTGCTGTAGGTACACCGGATGCTGCCTTTGGCTGACCCGCTGCTGCTGTTGGAATAACGGCTGCTGCAACTGGCCGACCCGCTGCTGCTGTTGAAACACCGGCTTCTGCACTTGGGTGACCCGCAGGTGCTGTTGGAATAACGGCCACTGCACCTGGCTGACCCGCGGCTGCTGGTGAAACGACGGCTGCTGCACCGGCAGAGGAGCCTGGCTGAACCGCTCCAGGTGGTGGAGCACCAGCATAGGCACCTGGCTGACCCGCTCCAGCAGGAGGAGCACGGACAGAGGCACCTGGCTGACCCGCTGCTGCTGTAGTAACACATGCTGTTGTCAAACTTATATATGCTATAGTCTGTTTAGGCTGTAGTGGGGTAGTTCCTAGAGGGTACAACACTTTTGTGTTCTCTATTTGTACCCACCTCATTTCTAGTTCAATCATCCATTTCCTCAATTTTCACATGGTATAGAGCTAGTTCAATTCTTCCTAAGGGCCCACCACTGAAATTTTTTTTTTCCTTACCTGCCCGACGCGCGCATCGCGCCTGCCCTTCGAGACCCCTTCGCGGCCCGTTAGGCCCCATCGCGGCCCCTTCGCGGCCAGTCGTGGCCCCCTTTGCGGCCCGTTAGGCCCCTTCGCGGCCCCCCTTTACGGCATGTAGAGGCCCCTTCGCGGCCCGTTAGGCCCCTTCGCGGCCCGTAGTGGCCCCCTTCACGGCCCGTAGAGGCCCCCTTGCGGCCCGTAGCGGCCCCTTCACGGCCCGTAGCGGCCCCCTTGTGGCCCGTAGCGGCCCCCCTTGCGGTCCGTAGCGGCCCCCTTGCGGCCCGTAGCGGCCCCTTTCGCGGCCCGTTAGGCCCCGTCGCGGCCCCTTCGCGGCCCGTCGCGGCCCCCCCCTTTGCGGCCCGTTAGGCCCCTTCGCGGCCCCCCTTTACGGCCTGTAGAGGCCCCTTTGCGGCCCGTTAGGCCCCTTCGCGGCCCCCTTTACGGCCTGTAGCGGCCCCTTCGCGGCCCGTTAGGCCCCCTCACGGCCAGTTAGGCCCCTTCACGGCCCGTCGCGGCCCCTTCGAGGCCCGCCCCGGCCCTTCCCCGGCCCCGTCCCGGCTCTGCCCCGACCCCGGCCCTGTCCCGGACCTGCCCCGACCCCGGCCCTGCCCCGACCCTGTCGCGGCCCCGTCCCGGACCTCCCCCGACCCCGGCCCTGCCCCAGCCCCGTCGTGGCCCCGTCCCGGACCTACCCCGACCCTGTCGCGGCTCTGTCCCGGACCTGTCGCGGCATCGCCCCGGCACTGCCTCGGCTCTGCCCCGGCCCTACCCCGGCTCTGCCCCTGCCCTGTTCCTGCACTGTCGCGGCCCTGCCTCGGCTTGGCCCCGGATCTTCTGCGGCCCGGCCCCGGCCCTACCTCGGACCTGTCGCAGTCCTGCCCCGACCCTTCCCCGGCCCTGCCCCGGCCTCGCCCCTGGTAAGCGCACCGCCGAGCCGAGCCGCGCTGTCGAGCCGCCCTACCGAGCCGCGCTGCCCTGCCTAGCCTGCTTAGCTGAGTTGCACTGCTGCTGCTGCTAGCCTGCTGCTGCTCCTGTCATGGCTAGTCTCAGTGTTCTTACTTTTGACGCTGAGGGTCGAGCAGTTGACTTTGAGGTCTGGCTAGATGATATGCAGCTTTTCCTACAGTGCGATAGCAAGGATGGTCTCTCACTGTTCGATCTCACGTCTGGCGCCTCTACTGCCCCTGCTGCTGATGCTGACAGTACTGTTCGCTCGCAGTGGACCACGCGCGATGCTGCTGCCCGCCTTGCTGTGCGTAGTCACCTACCGTCTACTGAGCGCGCGCACTTTAGTCAGTACAAGAGTGCTAAGACTCTGTACGACGCTGTAGTTGCACGCTACTCCTCCCCTGCCACTGCTGCCCTCAGCCACCTCATGCTGCCGTACCTGTTTCCTGACCTTGCAGCCTTTGCCACAGTTGCTGACCTGGTTGCTCACCTTCGCACCAGTGACGCCCGCTACCGCGCTGCCCTTCCCACTGCGTTCCTTCCCACGAACTCCCCCCCCATGTACATCACCCTTTACTACCTAGTCACCCGCCTCCCTGACTCTCTCTCTTCAGTCAGGGACCACTTTCTCTCCCTTTGCCCCACCGAGCTGACTGTCGACTTGCTAGAGGAGCGCCTTGCTGCAGCTGAGAAGAGTATCTTAGCTGTCGGTGCTTCTCGCGGCGACCGTCGCACCCCCTTCTTTGAGGGGTGTTCCCCTGTCCCCCTTCTCCCCTCTGTTGCCTCTGCTGCTGCTGTCGACCTCGTTGGCACTGAGGAGGTCGGCGTTGCGTCTACCTCTAGTGGGCGACGCCGCACCGGCAAGGGCAAGGGAAGCAGGGGTGGTGGTGGGGGCGGTGGGGGAAGCGGTGGAGAAGGTGGAGGAGGTGGAGGTGGTGGTGGGGGTGGTACTGGGAGTGGGGGCGTCGGTGGCGGCAGTGGAGGCCGTGGCGGTGGTGGCGGAGGAGGTGGAGGCAGCGGCACCGGTGGTGGAGGTAGCGGAGGAGGTGGTGCTGGTCGCGGTGCAGCCACGCAGCGTGGAGGCCTTGGTGGCAGCCAGCGCCAGCAGCAGGTGTGCACCCGTGAGACCCCGTCGGTTCAGCAGCTTCGTGAGTGGTACGTTGGGCGTGGGAGGTCTGGGGGTGCGGGTCCCTGCTCTTACGTTCTTCGCACCGGCACTCGGAGTGGGGAGGTGTGTGGTCTCCCACACACCACGCAGCACTGCTTCGGCCGCTTGACTGACGCTTGGCGTGCCCAGTTTCCTGACGCCGTTGAGCTTCCTCGTTGGCATGATCTGCTTCTGCAGAATGTGCCTATCTTTGATATAGACTTTGATGCTATCCTTGCTGCCATGTATGCTCTTGCTGATATTACTGAGGGTGACTGTTACCTGAGTGTCCCGCCCGACCCGGGCACTGTGGCTGCTGCTCTAGGTGCTAGTGCGGCTGCTGCTCTAGGTGCTAGTGCGTCTGCTGCTCCAGGTGCTGGTACATCTCCTCTCTCTGGTACTGCACCTACTAAGTCCTTTCACACTTTCACACTTGACTCTGGTGCTTCGCGCTCTTTCTTTAGAGACAGCACCACGCTCACGCCGCTCAGTCGGCCTGTTGCGGTCTCCCTTGCTGACCCCTCCGGGGGCCCAGTCCTTGCACACTCCTCCACGGTTCTACCGTGTCCGGCGGCCCCGTCGGGCTTGCTGTCGGGACTCCACCTCCCCTCGTTCTCTACGAACTTGGTGAGTGGAGCTGACCTCCAGGACGTGTGGGTTGACCAGTTCACCCCTGGAGGTCAGCGTGTGACCCACTGCACTTGCTCTCGGACGGGCCGCCACCTGGCCACGTTCACCCGTCGGCCAGGGTCGAGTCTGTACACACTGACTACTGCGCCTCCTCCGGTCCCTGTGTCTGGTCAGGTGGCTGCGTCCAGTCAGGTGTTTGCTGCCGCGTCCAGGTCTAGTCCTGCGTCTGCCCCCTGCTCGTGTCGTCCTCTGGCGCACGAGACTCTCCTTTGGCACCACCACCTTGGTCACCCCTCCCTGCCTCGTCTTCGAGGTATGGCCTCCCGTGCTCTTGTCTCTGGACTCCCTAGGTCCCTCCCTCCCCTTCCTCCGTGGCCTGCCCCCACCTGTGTTCCTTGTGTCGAGGGCCGGCAGCGCGCCGCTCCTCACTCCTCCTCGTTTCCTCCGACTGAGGCTCCTCTGCAGACTCCCAGCCCGCGTCCGTGGACAGGGTCACGAGCGTTACTTCCTGCTGGTCGTTGACGACTACTCGCGTTACACCACAGTCTTCCCCTTGCGCAGCAAGGGTGAGGTCCCTGAGGTGTTGATCGACTGGATCCGCGGTGCTCGTCGCCAGCTTAGTGAGAGTTTCGGCTCAGACCTTCCTGTTCTGCGTCTGCACTCAGACAGAGGCGGGGAGTTTTCCTCCGACCTCCTGAGAGCCTTCTGTCACTCTGAGGGCATCCGCCAGACGTTCACGCTTCCGGCCTCCCCGCAGCAAAATGGGATTGCTGAGCGCCGCATTGGCATGGTCATGGACGTCGCTCGTACGTCCATGATCCATGCGGCTGCTCCCCATTTTCTGTGGCCGTTCGCGGTTCAGTAAGCTGCGCATCAGATCAACCTTCAGCCTCGCGTCTCCTTGCCGGAGACCGCACCTACACTGAGGTGACGGGGAAGGTTGGCGATGCGTCAGCGTTCCGAGTCTGGGGATCTCGAGCTTTTGTCCGCGATACTACAGCGGACAAGCTGTCCTCCCGTGCCGTTCCCTGTGTCTTCCTTGGCTTCCCTCCTGACGCACCCGGGTGGCAGTTCTACCACCCCACCTCGTGTCGTGTTCTGTCCTCTCAGGACGTCACGTTCGACGAGTCGGTGTCGTACTACCGTCTCTTTCCCTACTGCACTGCTTCTCCCCCCCCCCGCCACTCTTCCTGGCACCAGGTACTCCCCTGGTAGACCCCCTCCCCCCCCAGGGTCCTGCCCCCTCAGGTGTGTCCCAGGTAGACCCTGCCGAGCCGGTCGAGGTAGCTGTCGACTCAGGTGCTGCTAGGGGTGCTGACCCTGCGGGTGCGGGGACTGGGGGTGCTGAGACTGGGGGTGCTGACACTGGGGGTGCTGACTCTGGGGGTGCTGAGACTGGGTG